TATTCGCCGCTGGACATCGGAGCTGGCCTCCGCACGAGCGCAGCGACACCCTCACCGAGACCCTACTCCGAGCCACGATGAGCTGGACAGGTGGGGCCAGGTCATCTTGTCCCAGCTTCGCACTGGATACTGCCCACTGGTGCGAGCCACAGCCCATCGTCTCGGTTTGGTCGCAGACTCGACCTGCCGAGCTTGTGGCGAGGAGGAGGAGGACGTGGAGCACCTCCTGGCCGGGTGCCCCGCACACGTGGCGGCGAGGGCCGGCTTCTGGGGGCACTGCCCTACCCTGGAGGAAGTGTTCTCGGGGCCGGCCGAACATGTCATCAACTTCTTGAGAAGAGTGGGGCGGGTGCAGGTCGCCGCCGACCCGCCCCCGCCGGCCGCGCCCTAGGCGCGGTCCGCGACCGCGCAGAGAAGAAGAACAAGAAGACGGAGACGGAGACGGAGACGGAGACGGAGACGGAGACGGAGACGGAGACGGAGACGGAGACGGAGAGAGAGAGAGAGAGAGAGAGAGAGAGAGAGAGAGAGAGAGAGAGAGAGAGAGAGAGAGAGAGAGAAGACCAAGGGCCATCGGTGAGGCGGCGTGCCCTCGCGGGAGCTCCACGCCAGGTACTGGGAGCGGGCTCGCCTTTTCCTCGTAGTGACCCATCAAGGCTGGGCGGCGGCGGTACTAGTTTCGCAAGAGACAGACATGGAGCGACTCGGGACTCGTCTCAGTCCGGCCGCCACCCAGCCGCCCGCCGCGCCTGGCCGGGCTGCTTCTTCGCCGGCCGGGTGGCGCGGGCGGCCCTCCCGGCTCCCGCCCGTCTGGGATGCGCTCCCCATCCGCAGGGCGTCGGCGGCGCCCAAGAGGCACAAGAATAACGGCGGTGCTGCGGGCGGCTTGTGGGGTGACGGTGCCGCGCTCCTTCCCCGGCCCCTCGCCGTCCGTCCCCCCTCCCCGGTGCCGTTTTCTTACAGGGGAGGCGCCCCGGCCGCCGTGCCGGGGCGTAGCGCAGACCGTGCTTAAAGCACAGCAAAATATCAACCCAGGCTAGATTAAGGTCACGACAACCTAGGATTAAGAGTGGCTACAGACTTCAGACTTAATGCAGACTTAACATTAAGGTATTGTATATGCAACTATGTAGTTAGTTCTAACCTTCTCAACAGAAAGTGAATATGTCAGGACAGCACCCCTTGGTGACCATTATACTCAAGAGGTGTAGGCAATGATTCCCCAGGGGTGAAGTGATAGGAGCACAAACATGAGTCACTAGTTGGCTTGGCTCTGTGTCTTTCCTCCTGCAGGAAAAAAAATATGTGTGATACCCAATGTGACTGGTAACTGCATTTTATAAAGCTGGAAATATTGTACAAAGTTATGACAACACAAGCAAACTATGCATGTTACTGCTCTTGTTATTGCTATATGAGACCTCACAAGACACAAAAATATGCATGGTAAAAAAGGGAGCAGCAATACATTCCAAATGAAGCTTGTCATTAAAATGATCATGAATTTCACTACATCAAAAGTGAATGAAATTAAGTGATACCTAATCAAAGACTCTGGAAAAGAAGATCAGCATAACTACATATGTCTTGTTTCCAAAGCTAATGTGTGATCCTCAATGTTGCAAAAGTTGGTTAGCTTTTACAATAACTTTGAATAAAAAAACAAATGGTAAACACACTTCAAGGAAATCCCAAGATCCATCCAACCTTTGACATGCCCTGTTTGGAATGCTGCTAAACATGCTATGATCTTCACAGAATAGGTAAAATCAACTCAAAATATTACTTTCTTTTATTACAAATAAAATCTTCCCATGAATTTCATTATTGTGACTGCAGAGCTCATTCAGTCAATCAGAGACTGTGCAGAGGCTTTATCATTCAATCAATCAGAGAATCAATGTGCAGAGACTAACACAAAACCTAGTGACTTTTTACAAACATCTTTTATGCTACAAGCTTATGCTTGCTCAACACTTTTTTCATGACTCAAATATGGTGGTGTTCATTTTAAGTGAAAACATTCATCCAGCACTAAGCAGATTATTTCTAAGCTCCAGTAAGTCCCAATGTCTGCTATATTTCGCTTGGAGTCACTTCATAGTTTGAACTCAAGGTGCCTTGTGGATTTACCTCAGTTATGTAGGTGAATCCACTAGGATATATGGGCTTTACCTGAGTTATGTAGCTGCTCCCTCAATTTAAGTTTCTCGTTAAATTTCATTGAGGCATTGGAAGATGGGCTGTAGCCGAATTCTCTTCCCTATTTAGCTGATGCTCATAATACCTCAGCATTTTTAATTGCAATTTTTGTAGCTGTTAAAAATTGATGAAGGCACATGTACCTTGACAACAATGACGTTACAGAGGAAACCCCTGGCTGTGTTTCACGGCCCGCACGGGCACGCTGCCAGCCACTACCAGCGCATTCCGTGAGCTAACGTCAACCTCTGGTATTGTTGGAAGTATAGGCTTATTGATGTCTCTATGGAAGCCAAAAGTGGCTGGCAGAGTGCCGCATAACACCACCTTTATTTTTGCACAATAATGGTGTGATAACTGTTCCTGGAAGAAAATATAATGTGAAGTGAAGTAAAATCAGGTCGAACAGTAATATATACCCAAAAGCAGCAGTGCGTGGAGTACCCACCTATATTCACATTACCAATAATATGATGCACAACAGGCCATAGAAAAACCGGTGAATGTTGAATTGTAACCCAATTGGAAATTTCAATATCAATATGGCACTTGGCATTAGCAGTAAAACACACCGTTTTTTATGTTAAATCAACAGAGAAAACTCCTGAAGATATGGTGTTGAGTGCTCTTGTGAGGAACATATTGTAATAATAACTCAAAATGAATGACCTTTTCCTCGAATATAAAAAGTTTAAATGTCGAAAATGATGTATTTAGGTGAATTTTCGCCCACAGGGCATCATCAGACAAGCAATTGGCACAAATTGGCACATTTGTGCCAATTGCTTGTCTGAAAATGATGTATTTAGGTGAATTTTCGCCCACAGGGCATCATCAGACAAGCAATTGGCACAAATTGGCACATTTGTGCCAATTGCTTGTCTGATGATGCCCTGTGGGCGAAAATTCACCTAAATACATCATTTTCGACATTTAAACTTTCCATATTCGAGGAAAAGGTCATTCATTTTGAGAAAACTCCTGAACATAAACAAAATGATCAGAATGTATGATAGGGATAATAGTATAAATAAAAATCGACGAATCAGCATATCATCGCCTTAACCCTAGAACGCCTAGGGGGGGGGGGGGTTGTATCAACCCCCCCTGAGGTTTTTTCGAAGTGCACGCTAAACGGCTTGTCGTAGCGGGCTGAAATTTTCAATACCCTCTGGGGCAACCTTTGCGCATCTTTTGCCGAAAAAAATTGATCGGGTCATGTCAGGTCACGGAGTTATGACGTCATAAAGGGAACAACCTCCGGCCAGATTTACGCTAAATTGGAGATTGCTTCACATTGGTATAAATGCCGACTGACCTGACACACTGATGGATTGTTTTAGAACCATAACTGGCTGATTTGACATTGGCACAATGTCCGTTGACCTTTTCAAGGTTACTAAAGGTCAAGGTCAGGTCAGTGACCTCGGTTGACCTGTAATGACTTCTTGCACTTGTATGCCTTTTCGGGGTATTTTGATGCCCTGAATTCGAATTTGCTATCCATTTCAGGCATCGTCGGTTGTTTCTTGTAGTTCATTTTGGGTCAGGGTCAGGTCAGTGACGTCACACGCCTGACGTGACCCAATGCACAAATGACCTTGCAGACTTCCGATGCTCCCAACGCATCATTTTTAGAGTTATGACATCGAAATACGCACCAAACGATAGAGAATTGATCAAGGATCACGATAGTGAAGGTTTCAAGTCGATATCTCTTACCGTTTTGCCGCAATCGGCGCGGAAATCTGAAAAAGTTAGATTTTTCCGAAAATTTGACCTTTGACCGGTCATAAGTAGGTCAAATGTTGACCTAGGACCAAAAAATATACCACCAATCGCGAGATCTCGTTGAGAGCAATCCGTTGGTTTTTTCCGCTAAGCTCTACGACCTTCCGTTTCGAAACGCCAGGGGGGGGGGGTCGTAACAACCCCCCCCCCCTGGTCGTTCGTGTTATGAGAAATGGCCTGGTCGTGCGAGGGTTAACACATTCACCACTCCACTCTGACTCCCCATTCCACGCACAGATTGTTTACTGTTGGTTTACCCCGTGTTCGCAGTCTTCCGGAGGACGAAGATTCTATACGCCGTCCGACCAATCACGTTCAAGATCAGCGGAGCTTGGCCGTGGTTCTCGAATGCCATTGGCCAGATTACGCAGAATCTTCGTCGTCAGGAAAACTGTGAACACGGGGTTACATTTTTCGCTATGGTAACAAAAGCGCCAGCATTGACTACCAGAATTGGATCCGAAGGTCAAATGGGTCACGTGACTGTCAAGTTCAGATGGACAACACCTGACCATAATAATGTCATAACGCTCCAAAATAATATTCATCGCCTTAAACTCAACAGCGTCGCCGCACAACGCCCACGCTCCTTTGGTGACAAACACGCACTGGCGGCTTCATGTCACTTCATGAACTCGACAAACCCGCGTTGCTAGGCAACCGAAACAGCTGATGCGTACTCTTATCGCCCGTAATGACAAAAATGGTGACAAAAATGGTGTATGACAAGAAATCTTGGTTCGCTACGCGTCACGTTAGCCATGAAATGATTAGGGAGAAAATTTGGTATCGATTGGTGTTTGTCTCGTGTTGATCGGAAGTCTATGTAGAAGCTTAGATATTCGCGAAAAACCCATAGGAGTTACTCCCCAGATTGCAGTCATCTTTGCTCTAGTGTCGATTTCCGATGTCCTGTCGGAAGACATGGCATGCTTACAGGTTGTGTGTGACTAGGAACGTCAGCAGACCTTGCCTTATGCTTTTCTTGTATTTTTCTTTTGTCTCAGGAAGAGGAGGAAGAGGATCTGGTTGACCCCCTCGAGACGATGCGGGAAGAGTGCCGCGCCAGTGGCCCGGCGCCCCAGCTGCGCGCCAAGTTCGAACAATGCGAGGAGCGTGTCAGCAGCCGCAGTAAGACCGAGGAGACCTGCGTGGAGGAGCTGCTCGACTATCTGCACGCCGTCGACCACTGCGTAAGTTTTGCGTGTGCTACTTTTGCAGGTATTTATGCTATTTATTTCACTGTTGTTCTGTACTAACGTTGGTGGAAGTGGAATGGTTGGTTTACCCATAAAACTCCCATGAAATTCATACGATAGAATGGGGTGCTTTGAACAGGTGGGGCAATTTGAACATACATAGACCTCTATATACCTGGACTGTACACTGATTTTGCCAACTGCCATTAGGGCTCTGCTGGGAAATTCGACGTAGCACGCGGAATAGTGCGCTGATGCTCTATAGTCTGTTTTTCGTATCTTCTACCTTCACTCAAAGACGGTAAACTCTTATCACGTGCTCCAGCGAACATCTAATTAAATCAACACCGGTGCAAAGTCAATTTTTATCTCGAACGCAAGATCGAACGTCTGTCCCCTTGGCCTATCCCGTTAATCAAAATGCGATGTTCTTTGTCAAGTGAAATGCATTTGCATAAAAACGTGACATCATATTTTAATTCTGGCAAAATTATCCCTTTCTAATTTCATTATGTTTTCAAACAACAGAAGGGCAATGGCCTTGGTCTCAGACAAGACAAAATGATCGTAAAGTTTTCTTTCAACGTTTCAAAGCAAAAGAAATGTGGGTTAGGTGACTGAAATAAGGCGGTGAAGAAGGAGCACAACCAACGAATATCGCCAGAATAAAGAACTTACTTCCTTGGATACCAGAAAGAAAAGTGTTGAAGGCGCGGAGAAACACCGTCGGTGGTGGCACAGCTCAACTCCGTCATGCTTTCAGCGCAATATAATACGAAAAATGCATACGTGCATGGGCGGCGCCACCGGGGGGGGGGGGAGGGGGGACAGGTCCCCCGCTATCGAAAGTTAGGGGGGTACAGTAGGGGAGAGTGGGGCACATTCGTGCATGGGGCACATTCGTTTTCAGCAGTTTATGGGAACACGAGTGACTGCACGAGCTCAAGGTAAATTATGGAAATATGTCTATCATTGCCGCCCTTCGTTCACCGTAGAAGACAACACTGTACCTGCTGTCATGCTTGATAAAAACGCAAATTTGTAATATTCGTGAGCTTTCCAAACTTTTCTCACATCATCCATTTTCGTGATCCTGACTCGGAAATGTGGTTCAGCTTTTCAAAATTGGGGGTGAAGAAGCTCACTCTATTCACGGAACTGCTGCAAACTTTTTGGTTGAAAAAGTGCCATTTTTTCAAAAAGAAATTTTGAAATATATTACTAATAACGTTGTGGGGCAGGTTCGTGTACGCACTGCCTGGGGGCACATTCGTGCATATTTTTTTTAGTTTTTGCGATTTATGACTTTATCTGTAGTAGGTTTCTCTAATGACGCTCGCCTGACTCAGTCTCGACTGCTTGCGACGTCGTGACGAGCAATTCACGCGAACTTGGCGAGGTCACGGAGGCCGGCAGTTGGCACATTCTTGTTGGCCAGCCCATTCTTTCTACATATGTTGTGCAATGCATTCTTGTCGAAAGGAATCAAGTGAAATGACCCCCTGCCAATTTCCTTTGGTAAATTTCTGGTAATGCCCGGTAATTTCTCGAACTTTGCAGGGTGAACGGAAGTGCCCCACCTCTTGAACGAATGTGCCCCATAGGTGGGGCAGTTTCGTGCAAATGTTCAGAGTTATTAAAAGTCATTTTTTCTAATGGAAGCAATAATTTTAGAGGATAACTTTTAAAGAGGAAAACTGTCTGCAATAGTTCCTTTCCATACTACAATCAACAATTTTGTCATTGCACTAACCAAAGAACAGATATATGGGTTTATCCATTTTTTGCACGAATGTGCCCCACTCTCCCCTACCCCCCTGTCGGCGAGGCCCGTTCAATAGTTGATAACTAGGGTGACCCGCGTGCTCCGCAACGCGAAAAAGGGTTATTTTTGCCCCGTGGGTATTGGGTTGGTCTGTGTCGATTTGGTTGGTATCCATTTCGTTCGATTCCTTTTTCTGGTAGGTTCGCGCTTGCAAAGACAGTGGTGTGGTTCCGGGTCTATGTATTGGCTTTCCCACACTGTCTTTGGGTGAGGGAAAAAGCCCATAGCCGATCACAAACAATCAAATGATAAAGCTTTTCACAGAGCACAAGTATATCTAACACAGTTGCTGGCTAGATACATATGCCAAAACTGGCGGCGGTGGGGCGGACGGTGGATGTCGCGCCAAATCGAACCGTGCGCCCAGGTGACACCCCACACTGTCTTTGGGTGAGAGAAAAAGCCCATAGCCGATCACAAACAATCAAATGAAAAAGCTTTTCACAGAGCACAAGTATATCTAACACAGTTGCTGGCTAGATACATATGCCAAAACTGGCGGCGGTGGGGCGGACGGTGGATGTCGCGCCAAATCGAACCGTGCGCTCAGGTGACACGCGCGTAGTGAAATGGCCGGGCGCAGCCGGCTACCACTCGGGTCACATTGTAGATGGCGCTGGGCTCGCGCTCGCCCGCGAGAAAGGTCATTTGTGCTCGTGCGCGCAAAAATGCTGCATTTCTCGTAGGTTCGCGCTTGCAAAGACAGTGGTGTGGTTCCGGGTCTATGTATTGGCTTTCCCACACTGTCTTTGGGTGAGGGAAAAAGCCCAACAACCCCCAACCGAACCCGCGAACACATCACTGCTAACTTTGTCGAGAATGCAGCTAGACTGCAATTATTGCATTGGCTAACTGCAGATCAATATACTAAACTCAGCGCCATTGTTGCTCTTTTAACTACCGAGAGCTGTTTTAAAAACTAATCAAGGGAATATGATTTTCCTGGGGTCAGCGTTCCTGGCACCGACGCAAGCGTTCAGACCAGCGCTGGAGCCGGGTGTGGCGCTAATTGATGAGTCTAGGCCCTAGGGGGATGAGCGGTCCCGATCCAACGTCTCTGGCACCGATGCAAGCGGTCGGACCAGCACTGGAGCCGGGTGTAGCGCTGCGTGACGAGTCTAGGCATGGGCGGCCTGGCGCCAGCGTCTCTGGCACCGATGCAGGCGTTCGGACCAGCACTGGAGCCGGGTGTAGCGCTGCGTGACGAGTCTTAGAGATGAGCGGCCTGGTGCCAGCGTCTCTGGCACCGATGCAGGCGTTCGGACCAGCGCTGGAGCTGGGTGTAGCGCTGCGTGACGAGTCTTAGAGATGAGCGGCCTGGCGCTAGCGTCTCTGGCACCGATGCAGGCGTTCGGACCAGCGCTGGAGCCGGGTGTAGCGCTGCGTGACGAGTCTTAGAGATGAGCGGCCTGGCGCCAGCGTCTCTGGCACCGATGCAGGCGTTCGGACCAGCGCTGGAGCCAGCTGTAGCGCTGCGTGACGATACCAAGAGACCGCTGTGGCCCCTCCCTTCCCGTGCCGGGACCGGCGTCCGAGCCACCATCAGCCGCCACTTGTGAGCCGTGTGGTGCCGTGGAGATGCCCGGACGGCCAGTGGCGCTAGACACGCCAGCAGGAGCAGACGGGGTCACACTGCGCGTTGTTGACGTGTTGCAGGTGGTCCACGGCTTTGACCCAGCCATCAATTTGCAGCATCGCCTCTCCAGTAAATCATGAAAAAAGGGAAGGCCATGAGTGTTGCACATGATATTCATCACGTAGAATTGCGGGCCATGTAAACGACTGAGTTCAGAGTTTGCATGGAAGAAATGGGCTCACACTTAGACCTCGTTACATCACAGTGGGCACGAGACGACATGCCTTAGAACACATGTCCCGCTGAAGGACACGAGACGACTTAACACGAGATTTCATGCATTGTTGATAGACACGAGACGACATGCCATGACACCATGCGTTGCTGAGGGACACAAGACGACGAGCCATTGATCGGGGCCCGAGACGATGAGCCAATGATAGGGACACAAGACTACGAGCCAATTATAGGGGCACGAGACGACAATCCATTGTTAGAGGCATGAGACGACGAGCCATTGATAGGGGCACGAGACGACGTGCCATTGTTAGGGGCACTAGACGACGCAGCATTGTTAGGGGCACGAGAAGACGCAGCATTGCTAGGGGCAAGAGAAGACACGCCATTGTTAGGGGCACGGGACAACGTGCCATTGTTAGGGGCACAAGACGACGCATTGTTAGGGGCACAAGACGACGCACCATTGTTAGGGGCACAAGACGACGCACCATTGTGAGGGTCACGAGAAGACGCGCCATTGTCAAGGGGCACGAGACGACGTGCCATTGTTAAGGGGCACGAAACGACATGCCATTGCTAGGGGCACGAAACGATATGCCTCTGTTAGGGGCACGAAGCAACGTGAATTTATTAGAGGTACGAGATAACGTGTCATTGGTAGGGACCTGGATAACGTGTCCTTGATAGGAAGATTGGATAACGTGTCATTGGCAGGGACACAATATAACGCATGATGCTCTTTTGCCCTCTTCATCGTCATCTTTTATTGACTCAGTGCCAAGAATAGCCCCTTTGACTTCGGTCAAAGATAGAGGACGGCCACTGCGAAGTAATTAAATAAATAGGGCACGAGATGAAGTGTCATTGGTAGGGACACGAGATAAGGTGTCATTGGTAGGGACACGAGATAAGGTGTCATTGGTAGGGACACGAGATAATGTGTCATTGGTAGGGACACGAGATAACGTGTCATTGATGTGGACACACGATAACGTGTGAGTCATTGGTAGGAACACTAGACAAAGAATCATTGGTTGGAGCACGTGACAAAGTATTATTGGTTGGTGCACGAAAACAACGCTTCATTGTTATGAGCATGTCGAGTCCTTGGTAGAGGCACGAGGTCAACCACAACGGACATGATTAGGCAATGACCCGAATACCCAAAATAAATGCCAACATTGTTTCAAACCAGGATATCCTTGTCTGAATGCACTATTATATCTAGGCATAATTGGATTCACTGTTTTACTGCGTGTCTCAAAGCGCCCATCATGTTTGCCTCTAAGAAGGCAAAAGTGCCTTAAGTTAAAATTGAAGATGGATGCAGTCCAAACACAGAATCTCGTATTA